GGAGGCTGACGCCTTTCCTGCAGAGGGGCCTCTGCTTAGTGGGAGGCAGGGCGCAGGGGGAAGGAGCCTTGAGGTCCCTCCCGGGGGCCTGGCTAATGTCACTGCTCCGTCAGCTTGGGGACCCACCGTATGTCGGCTTATGTTTCCCATTCCCGTGAAATAGCTCTTGGCTTGTTGCTAGGAGACAGGATGCTTCTGGTCTCCTTTTTCCCCTGTCCCCTCCCTAGTGCCCTACTCCCTAACCTCCTCTTGAGCAAGTGAGTGTGTGTGTGAGAGAGAGACAGAGAAACAGAGAGAGAGAGAGAGGAGAGGGACTGGGTGGGACCAGGAAATCGGAGGACAGAGTTCCTCGCTGGAGGGACTGACAGGCCCCGGGTCGTGTGGGCTTCATCCCCATCAAGTCTGAGCTTGGCCAAGGAGACTTGACATATGTGCTCCACTCTGGAGTCTGCCCCAGACAGTCTCTGTTTCCCTTTGGCCTCAGTTTCCCCAGGAGGGCTTGGGCACAGGCCTTGGTCAGAGGTGGGTGCTTAGGGAGCCTTTTTCCCCCAGACAGAGGTGGAGGTCTGCACAGGTTGCTGGATCCGCGTCCCTAGCGGGACACAGGCCGGCTGGCCAGCTGTGTGGCCCGTGGCTGCCTTCCGTCCCCGGCCACCTTCTACCCTGGATCCCAACTGAGGGCACTCCAGGGGCACCGAGCCCACCCTGGTGGCTGCTGCAGCCAGGGCCACCCCTGCTGTGTCCACGCTGAGAGAGCCTGGGAGTGAGCGGGCCTGGTAGAAGGAGGCTGGGAATCCCACGCGGCACACTGTCCACCTCCCGCTTCCCGTCTGCGTCAGGACAACACAACACGCCTGACAGAAGGAACTTCTGCAGAGGAGAGGCTGGTTGCGGCTGGCAGCTTCACAGGAGTCTGTCCACAGTGGCCTGTGCGGCCCAGAGCTGTCATAGAGCAAGCTGCTCACAGCAGGGTCTCTTAGAAGCAGAGAAGACAGGAAGGGCCAGGGCTCCGGCGCCTCCTTCCCTTCTTCCCCAGGGTCCCTTGGCTGGGGATCAAGCCCTGGAAAAAGGAGCTTTGGGGATGTGGAAGAATGAACCGTAAGAGTCTCCTCACAGGGACTTAAGGAAAAAGAGTCATAGGGTATCCGAGGAAAGAAAGGGCAGAAAGTGAACTGAGCCACCCAACAGACTTTAATTTGGGGGATACCGGTGTCTTCCAGCCAGACTGGATGGGCAATGATGTACTCTCTTACAACTGAGGTCTCCTTTTACTAAACTGAGAGTGTTGAGTTCTAGAGAAGTGTTAGGAAAGATCAAGGAGATGAAAGGAGGAGAGGAAGAAAGGGAGAGGAGGTGGATGACACCTGATCCTGGGAACCCTGGATACAATAGGATAAAGGCTTTAGTCTCTGAGGAGGCAGGGTCAAGGCCCCAACTCAGCCTGAAGAAGTTACAGAAGACAGATCTTCATGCATCAACCCCCCTTTAAGATCAAGGGACCAAGGTCAGTTTTGGAAAAATGAGGCAGGATAAAGGAGTAGGCATGGGAAACCATGGTATGGTTACAGGCCCATGCCCAGGAGATCCTGGGCCCATTGCAGGAAATCCTAGGCCCATTGGAGGAAATCCTAGGCCCATTGGAGGAAATCTGGTTAATGGAAGTTGTTGTCCTGACACACTGCCCCAGGCCACTGCCTAGAAGCTGCCTTGAAAACCAGCGGGGCCTGCTTGCCGAGCCTGCACACTCTGGCTAAGGCAACTAGGTCAGGCTCTTGGTCCTCAGTTCACAACGCAGCAGCACTCTCACCAGGAAATCGATGATTTGATTGCATGCACTTAAAACCAGTGGGGAAACAAAGAAGGAACCTAGTCTAAGGAACCCGACCTTGTCTGGTGCCTCGCTGGGTCCAGCTCCAAAGGCCCAGAGGTGAGATGAGCCATCCTTGGAATCGCAGGTGCTTAGCCTCAGGAGAGCTGGGGGAGCTCTGCTTTAGGGAATACGCAGATGTACTGTTTAGCCTTAGGGAAGTTTCGCTCCAGAGATTGACTGCCCCCTCCCCAGCATGTAGCATGTGGTTATTGTCTTTAAAAGCTTGGTGCAAGCTGGGCTCTGGGCTGCAGGTCTTTGGGACAAGAATCCATCTACAGATGCCAGCTCTCCAGTGAAAACTCCCAATTGCACCTCGCAAAAAAGTGGCTTCTCTGTTTTCTTCGTGACTGAATTCCTGTACCACATAAGTTCGGGGGTCTGGGTGAGAGGGTAGCTCAAAAGAACATGAAGCAGGGGCTGGGAAGGTGGCTCAGTGGTAGAGTGCTTGCCTTGCATGCCTGAGGCCCTGGGTTCGATTCCTCAGCACCACATAAGCAAAAAGAAAAAAGCCAGAAGTGGCGCTATGGCTCAAGTGGTAGAGTGCTAGCCTTGAGCTGAAGAGCTGAGGGACGGTGCCCAGGCCCAGAGTTCAGGCCCCACGACCGGAAAAAAAAAAAAAAGAACATGAAGCACCCAACCTAAAGACCTGAGGCCTTGCCGGGCGCCGGTGGCTCACACCTGTCATCTTAGCTACTCAAGAGGCTAAGATCTCAGGACCACGGTTCAAAGCCAGCCCGGGCAGGAAAGTCCGTGAGACTCTGATCTCCAATAAACCTCCAGAAAACTGGAAGTGGCGCTGTGGCTCAGGTGGTAGAGTGCTAGCCTTGAGCTGAAGAGTGAGGGACAGCGCCCAGGCCCAGAGTTCAGGCCCCACGACCGACCAAAAAAAAAAAGATTTGAGGCCTTGAACCTAGTGTCCAGGTCAGATCAGGCTTCCAGGACCGGGGATGGCAAGTGGGTGGACACAGGCTCCTGCGGAAGGACCGTGACCACTGTGGGGAGAGGGGGGACGTGGCACCGGAGGCCCCGGCCCTTGTCCTCCCAGTGTCCGTTGGCAAGAGCTTGGTTCTTTCCCACACTGCAGGATCTCACTGCCTCTCCCAGACTGAGCAAACCTGTCACCTGCTTCAACAGTGGCTAGGCAGAAGCAGCAGGGGGCTACCTTGAACCCTCAAAAGACTCTCTCCCCCCCTCTGCCATGTCTGGCTTAGCTGTGCCAGCACCTCCCCCCACCCCATTACAGGGACGCAGGGGGGAGTGGACTTGTCACGGGAAGCAGGTGAAGGTTTATGAAGTTTCAGTTTAAAAATAAGGACTCTTCACCTAGGGTCCTTTACTGTAATCTCAGCGTAAGGGTTTCTGGATGAGTCTCAATGGTGAGAAAACTTGGCAGACAGACAGACAAACAGAAGGGCAGGGCACACTCTAGCAGAGTGTGGGTGCTCTCAAAGGGAAACAGAGACACACAGCTCTTTGGCTTCAAGGGTAAAGGCAGGGGGTCTGGCTTCAAAGCTATGCATAGTTTGCTCTAATCACTCCTGGTGTTACTTGCTGAGTTCCTGGATGTTTGGGAACATTTCTTCCAGGTAAGAATGTATCCTGCCATAAAACAGATCCTATCCTTGAGATAAGGAGGTGCCCTGGGCCTGCATTTGGGGCAGCGGTGGGTGGGTGTGGCCTAAGTTTTGAGGAAGCGTTTTTCTCAGGAAGGCATGCATCCTGCTGTCTGTCTTTGAAGCAAACGTGACACTTCCATGTTTCCAAGTGCTGTATTTGAGTTGCTTTCTCCAGGCTTCAGTTTCCATGTTCCCCTGCCTCATTTCCCCTTAAATGACTTTGCTCCCTTCATCTTAAGGGAGGTAAATGGACTAACTTGGGCTTTTGAACTCCTGGAAGCCATTTCCCATGCCCCATTTTGAGGCTATCCTGCCTCATTTTGAGCCAGCCTGCTGTGTCGGGGTCAGAATTAGAGCTAACCCTAACCCACTCACCTCCAGGAAACCCACAATGCAAGATAAACCCCAGCCAAGATCAACAGCCATACTCCAACCTGACCCACAGGGGAGAACACTGAGTGAGTGGCACTACGATTCGGGGGTGTTTGTTACGCAGTGGTAGCTGACAGTTGCAGCCCTGTTTTCTCCACTGCGGAGACCTGTGACCTCCCTTGACACATACGTATCAGTGTCTCCAGAAGTTTTCTCTCACTTAGGTCCCTGCCTGCCCTCTTCCCTGAGGACTCTGAATTCAAGCTCGGCTACCCCTTCAAAACTGGGTCCTTGGTAATTCCTTCCTATTCCTGATGTACCCGCACCTCCCCACCTGCCTTTTCTAACCCATCCTCCACCTCCGTTTTTCTGTAGCCCTCCCGCGGCTCACGCACCCTGACTGCCTGGAATGGGGGTGCTGGCTGGCTACCTCTCCACTGTCCCTGGCCCCTCCCAACTCCCTCCACCCAACCCATTCTCTCAAACCAGAGCCCTTCTGTCACCTCCACCCCCCACAACTCAGCCAAAGTCCACTCCCGACCCCCCTCCCGACCCCCTTAAATACAACCCACACCCTTTGCTGTGACTCTCCCTCCACTGGTCCGCACACTCCGTCAGTGTTCCCCGACCTTCTGGATCTCTCCAAGAGTCACCCCAAGCTTCCGCCGCACCCTCAGCCTGTCCCACCCGTCTGCCTGCTTCCACGTCCCTCCCCCCTGGAGGAGCGCTGCGCAGGGGGTCAGGCGTGGCTGTAATTTCCCAGGCCTGTGACGGCATGGGTGGCAGCTGCCTCTGCCAGAAGGCAGTTCTGGAAGGGCATTCGCCGTGTGGATGGCCTCTGCCCCAGAGCCGGCACAGAGCGGCACCGGACCTGTAAGTGTGTGGTGGTGGGTGAGCCACTGCCTGGGGCTGCGGGGCGTCCAGGCGCAGAGAGAGAGGCACACACCGCAAGGCTGGTGCAGGACCAACCCACCATCTATTTCACCACACTAGGGGCCCAGGAGGAATGCTGAGGGGTCTGCAGAGCAGGGCTGGCTGCCCGGCCTCGGCTCGCCGGCCTCTGCCCACACAAGTGGCACTCGCTCTGCCCCCCCCCATCTCCCCTCCCCTCTTCAGACAGAACCACAGGCACTTGGTCTTGCACATGCTCAGTGTCCTCAGGTCTCCACAGCTTCTCCTCGAGCCTCCAAACGTAGGAGCTGCCATTGGGAACGGTGCCGTGGGGTCTGGGCTGAGGGCTCATGGGAGGATGGTGTGGGCACAGGAGGCTGCCAGGGAGAAAGGCCGCCGTGGGGGCAGGGCCGGGGGAGCCACCAGGCTCCCACGCGGCTCCTCCCTCAGCAGCCCCGGCCCCCAGCCTGGCATCACCCGGCACAGCACACGGCACAAGCCCAAGGTGGCAGAGGGCCGGGGGGTGCTGGGAAACGCAGGGTGCGTTCACAGTGGGCTCTGGAGGGCTGAACGTGGCGTGGGGATCCTGGGTCGCTCCATCCCCCTCTCCCCACCCACCCCGGGAAGCCAGCCGTCTAAGGGGCGGGGGAGGGGCCAGGACAGCACCGTTCTGGGCTGGAGCATACCGTCTTTGGGGAGGATGGTGGCCTGGGCGGAGAGCTGCAGCTTGTGACAGGTGTCCAGGAACTCTCTCACGCTGGCAAAGCTGGAGGTGTTCTGTCTGCCTGGAGTTCCAATCAGAGACACAGCAGCAGAGATGCCCGTGTTGGTGTCTGGGGTGACGCACCTGTCCCCAGCTACCCCACCTCAGTCATTCTATCCCTTTCCACCCTTCCCCTAGCAGAGAAGCTGGGGCACCTTGCCAGGGCAGGCAGTCCTCGGCCAGATGTCCCAGATCCCTGATTTCCGAGCCAGCCCAGCTGATGTGGACGGGGAGCCGGCCCGTCCCCTCTGCCCACCCAGATGCCTGGAACTGTCTCCCTCCACAGCCCACTGCCGGGACTCGCTCGGGCCGCCTCTGGCACTCACTGAGGAGCAGCAGGCTCCTGTGGTTGCGGTGGGTGCGCCCCAGGCGGAGGAGTACCAGGCCAAAGCTGTAGTCGGTGGACAGCACGTGGAGGCCCTTCACCCCCTTCACTGCAAGAGAAGCCCAGAGCCCCATGCACCCGACACCCACCCCAGGCCACCCAGAGCCCTGCACCGCCAGCCCTGGGACCACAGCCAGCCCAGCGACCGGCCTCGGTGTCTGACCCGCCCACCACGTGCTCTAAGGACAAAAGGCCACAGCTGGGCGTCTGTCCACTTCCCCAGGGGCGCCTGGGCTCCCACGCACAGGAGTTCCGGAACAGAGCCTTCCTCTTGTCCTTCTTCAGGATCACCACCTGGGACTGGCAGCCGTGAGATCTGGGGAGCAGGTGCTGTGAGCCACAGGGCCCTTCCCGCCCCCTGCTACCACCCCAAGACCTGCCCGTGCCTGGGGGTCAGGGGGCCAGCTCAGGCCTGCATTTTCCAGCTTCCGCAGGAGTCTGCGCTGAGCTGGGCTGAAGGCACCCAGCACCCACTGCGACCTGGGAGATTCCTCCTCCGGGATGGCCCTCTGGGTTTGAGGAGAAGGGATGGGGCGTGGCCTTGTGGGGATTTCAGGCTGGCGGTGGGTGTGCGTCCCCCCCTCCCCCCTTTCCCCTCCGCCCCTCCTTTAGGAGCCGGCCCTGACGGCGCATCCTCTCACGTGCTAAAGACAATGGCCACCTTCAGCTGGCCCATCTTGTGCACCTTCAGCACGCACGCCCCCAGCTTCCTCTTGTCTCTGGCGGGCAGGAAGCCCTGGGCATCGGTGGCGATGGCAACGATGTACCAGAACCCTGAGAACTGGGGAGCCAGAGGGCACAGGGTGCGTGTGCACCTGCCTCACCGCCCAGACGCCCCACCCACGTCTGCGTCTGCGTCTGCGGGGTCGTCACCCCGGCCGGGGGCCCTGGCTGTCCAAGCCAGGCCGAGGAGGAGAGGCCCAAGAAGGCCCGGGGCTGGCTGTGAGCACCACGGCTGTTTCCCCACCCCTCTACTCCAGAGGTCAGGCCTCCACACGCCCAGCCTCGGGGAGCCCTGGCCTTCCGCTTCGCCCCTTCCTGCTCGTCCCCGAACCCTGACCGCCAGCTCGTCCTGCTCTGACACCACCCTGCCTGTCCTCCCAGCCACACGCGGGGCTGCTAGCCTGGAGCCTGCCCCAGCACATCCCTGCTCCTTCCTCCTCCCCTCTACCCGCCCAGGGGCCTCCCCACGCTGCCCCCCTTTGCAGTGTGCCTCTCTGGGCCCCCAGCAAGGCCCTAGGAAGGGCCCCAAGGATGCCCAGCCCGGCCCAGCAGGCCCTCCGCCCAGCTTCTGCTGGAGATGTCGCTCTAGGTACCCTGGCCATACAGGCGCCATCCCGGCCCCCTGGGGCCCAGCGGCCTGGTGCCGTGGACAGAGGGGACGAGGCTCACCTTTTCCCAGTTGAGGTTGTAGATGTCCCTGGGGAAATGGTCCCATGACTGGGACCCCACAGCCAGGACCGGGGCCGGAGCCAGGGTCAGGACCAGCACCAGCCAGAGCCCCATCCTCCCCAGCCTCAGCCAGAGGCCTGGCTGCTGCACAGACCTCCCAGCCACAGCCTCCCCCTGCCGTGGGCGTCTGCCCAGCCCCAGCCGCCCCAGGGGGGGCCGGGAGGAGACCGGCGCAGCTCAGGCCTCCACCCTCCCCCCGGCGCAGCGCGGGCCTCCACCCTCCCCCTGGCACAGCGCGGGCCTCCACCCTCCCCCTGGCACAGCGCGGGCCTCCACCCTCCCCCTGGCACAGCGCGGGCACTCTGCCCTCAGCAGGGCTGCGGCCAGCCATGGTGGACGCTGCCCGTCGGGAGTATCATCCTGTTCCCAAGAGCTCATAAGGGTCAGGCCCGTCCATCCTCACTCTGTGGGTGTTGGGGCCAGCATGTTCCCCTTGTGAGCCAGGGGCCACCACAGCCCCCACAAGCCAGGGGCCACCACAGCCCCCATGAGCCAGGGGCCACCACAGCCCCCCACAGCCCCCCCAAGCCAGGGGCCACCACAGCCCCCCCAAGCCAGGGGCCACCACAGCCCCCCCAAGCCAGGGG